TTTTTTGCAGTTCGTAAACATCTCACATTGTGGATGAGATAGCAAACTAGTACGCTGAAACAATTCATTCAAGATAAACGTCACATTTATCAAACTTATTCTTTCTTTTAGGAGTACCCCCAAGAAATCCATACTCGTGGATGAAGGTAAAACGAACACGGAATCCCTACTCGTGGATGGCCAGTGAGCAATACAAGAGGGCAAGAAATCCTTACAGCTGGATGGTTTCAGAGAAGGTAACGCCAGATCACATAAACAATCTCTATGAATAGACTAAATCCTTGCTTGTTTCAGAACAAACGTTCTTTGCGCTTCGCAGACGACGGTTTCCGTCAGCCAAGGAATCCCTACTCATGGATGTACACAATGCTTGAGAAGAGAACTCGCAATCCTTACAGCTGGATGAACTACGAATAAAAGAGCACACTGCATTCCTCATACGCTCCTGTCATCCGATTGTCCAAATTTGCCCTTATATCACTCCAATCGCAATAGATCTCGTGAATAATAACTCACATCCCGCGGATTTCACTCACCTTTTTCTCCTTACTAGTGTTTCAGTTTCTACTTGTTTATGGGACGCATTCAGATTGATCTCCATGCTCTGCAGTTGAATGCAAAGCATCTTGTCCAAAAGCCGGAAGCACTTGATCTCTTTGAGTAAATAAATATTCCACTGTTTGTGAATTTTCTGATAATATTGGTATGACTGAACGAGTTTCAATGGGGTGAAGATTGGAAATGATTGACGTAGGATGATCCGCCACTTCTCAGGGAAAATACCGAGAAAAAAGCATAGAACATGCTGGAAATGTCTCCTATAAGAGGAAGGAAAATAAAGAGTATGCGTCTAAACACTGATAAACGCCTTTCTTGAGATATATATGATTTTTCCAAGTTTTACTCTTCTCAGACAGCAGAACAATACGGCAGAAGCTCCCACAAATACAATGACTCTCTTGATATTCTATGGCAACACATGCAAGCAAATGAAGATGCATTTCGATAGTATGTCCTTGCATTAAAATTCTTCAGCCAAAC